TGTAAGAGTAGTTATTCCAGTCAGCTGTATTATAAAAGATTTTGTAACTCTCCTGTTAGATTTCACAATATTAGAGTACTGGCCAAAGGTCAGTTGCTAGTTAGGTATGTTTTAATAGTTGTTAATGCATGCAGAAGTTGTAATGCATGTAGGAGTCCAGCAAAGGCAAGGAGTGGAAGCAGAAACTGTTCAACTGAATGAGATGCTATATCCTAAGTCGTCTTATTCAGCATATTAAAGTGTCAGCACTTTTCAACCTATCAAGCAACCATACTCATATCAGAACATCATCTCTAAATAATATAAAGTAACAACACACATAATTAGTACCTGGATCTGTCCTTTCTTTCAGAATGGCAAAGCTTTAAGCCAATTACATTATTAATTGCTTCTTAGTAACTTTTATTCATGTCCTCTTAATGCCTTCAATTTCTATTGTATTTTTAACAGCTAAGAACAACTTCATAGCTAAAGAGGAGCAAATCAGCTTCAAAGACTGTGCTGAAGCTTTCAAATCTGGTCTGACAACAAGTGGAATCTACACTTTAACAGTTCCGAACACTGTACAAGAAAAGAAGGTAGGATGGCTATAAAGTGCTACCCCGGAATACTGTGTGTTAAAAAGTTATTTGATCTGGTAAATGTGCTATGTTAAAGGCTAGTTAATAGTGAAGTTTATTACTTACAAGCATTTCATCACTTACAGATCTGAGTATCTCACAGGAAGAAAGTCCTTCAGGTGACATCTTGGCTCAGTTGAAATGAAAGAGCATTTTGTTGTTTACTTCAGCATGCCAGAATTTCATTCTTTGATTCCACATAATTAACACAATTAAAGCAATATAGTACCGTAATTTCTTTATAAAATCTCTAACTCCAACACAGTTGCTCTGCATGATCAGCAGTCTCCTGTCTCCTCTAAGTTCTTAGTGCCTTCATATGCCCGAGTCCCTTCAAGGTGGCAAAAGGAGGTAGCATCAGGGACGTGGAAGAGTACTCATGTAAGCAATCTACTAATACTGGACTCATGTATGGATTCCAGTTCTTTGTTATGCAGAGTTTTAAGGGCATTTGTGTAACAATTAGATTAGCAATTAGATCAGCACAACTGGCATAGGGTAGCAGAGAGGACTTCCCTGGAAAATACCGCTCTGATATAAATAAAAGGTGAGAGTTGGTAGTGGTTTCACTAGATCAGCTTAAATTCCACTATGGATATTTTTTGCCCCTATGTGTTCAGCTGAAATGAACTTGATTGTCAATTTAAGTTAAAGCAATACACCACACCTCTACAGAAGAGACCTTGAGCTAAAAATGAACTCAGTGAGTGAAACACTGGATGCCTGACAGAGATGGTCCATCTACTGAAGTAAATAAAATGATAAAGCTTCAGATAGTGTAATTCAGTTGAAACAATCAATAAAATCTCAAAGGGAGAAAAGTCCCAGGTGGATTGTGAGGATAAAGAACCAAAAACTGCAGTGAGAATTCTGAGGACTGGGACTCAAATGATGAATGTTTCCAGCTTTTCAGACACTGCAGGCTGAGGAGGCTAAGGGACATTTAAATATAAACAAAAATGCTTAATATATTTCTTAGACAAACACTAAATACATTTCTAATGTTTTTGTTTTATAATTTCATATTTTGGACATTTCCTTACAAAAAAGGAAGTATTTTATGAATTCCTAAGGTTCTACTATATGATATGAGAAATAATTGGGAAAAAAAGCTAACAGAAAATGTAGAAAAGCAGAGAGAAATGAGGGCACATGTGGAAAAGCAATTGGTAAAACTCTGAAAGAGAAAGCATTTTTTTTTTCCAAATTTCGATAGCAAAGGTTTAGAAATTAAGTTCACCAGTGACTAGTCTTTGAAGTGCCAGAACTTCATCTAGCCCAAGCCAGACTTTGTGATCTTTGCCTTTACAAAGCTCTCAACTAAAGGAAATAAGCAATTTGTTTGGGTAAGATCTATAAAATACAATACATAAAACCTGCAATTTTTGCAGATATAATCTAGAGAAATGATGATATCTGCAGTCTGCTTTTCTTGGGAAAAAAAAAAAAAGAGGCAGGCTGGTTTTCCTTTGTGATAGTCTAATCTGTATTCAATACATCTGTTTCACAACAAAATTAGTGAAGTGTTTTATTAGACATGAAGCAGAATGGTATTTAAATAGCATACTTATCTACAAGCACAATTTTAAATGCTAAAGGAGATGCAAGCTACTGCATCTCTAATAGATTGCAGCAGTCTGTTAGACTTCTCGGGAAGAGTAACATTCCTTGAATCTCTTAGTATTACTTGTCTCAAGCTTTTACCTTTAGTTTTAATTTTACTAACAAATATACAGAGCATGCATATTTTCTACAGCAGACACAACTGCATACCATATTACAGAACGAAAATTTCTGTCATAAACTTTAACACTGCATTTTGAAAGCCGTAAATGTTTAGACAATTTATATGATCTGAGAAGCCAGAGTAACACACATTTCTACAAAAATAAAACCTACCAAAATATTCTATCCCTGAAACAAAAGTAGAATTGCAAAGTTCCTACACTAGGAAATATTAAATGCTTTACATTTGAACATGGAGGCCTAAAACATGTAACAAAAATATCCACTTTGGTAATTGACTAGGTTAAAAAATGTAGTTAAAATTAATAATTTAATTAAATTAGTAATTAATTTAATATTAAAGAATGTAAATCTTACTCTGCCCACTTCAGATAGAATGAAAAAGACACTTAAAAAGACAGCTAAGGTTTTACTTACTATATAACATGGAAAATAAGAGACTAAAAAGTTTTAATCTGATACAGATTTTTTATACAAATACAAATACGTAAGAGGAGTTGTCAAGGGAAGTGAAGGTTTAGGGATAATCAACACGTTACACCATTTTCAACTGTTTATGATGTGGGTGACCACTCGGACCAGGAAACAGAATGACCTTTTTTATTTGCCAGAAGTGCTGCACTGCTGTTTATATTTTCGTCTTTTCCTCTTGTAACACCTTCTGACCTCCCAACAAGCTTATAAACAACTTTTGTGTAATCTGTACCTCATCCCACTTCATTACTAATTTGTCTCCCATCATAATCCAAAACTAAAGAATTGCATATGAGAACTGAGAGGAAAACAATTATTTCATTCCATTAATATTTTCAAGCTTTCCTGTTCTGCACCAGGACAACAGCTAAGTCCTTTTATAAACACTGAGGAAAAACAGCAAAAGGCTGCTGATACAAGGCAAAATGGCAGAGGCAAACCCATGAAAAGTCAATAGCTTCATGTTTATAGCAGTCACCTAAACCAATGAACCTCGTGGTTTTAACCAGGCAGAATAGTTTAGTCTGGATGACACCAATATAATAGCTCAAACATTACCACAACTATTACCAACATATTACCCTAAATCTTAAAATAGTAGCTGAATCAGTGGCTAAGCTCTTCTCCATTTCCACCCCTGTTGAGCTGAGTTTTTGTCCTGGAACCAACGCGTGTTCCAAGCCAAAACCTTTTTAACCAAAACTTTATTGCACAAAGTGATTTGGGCAAGTCTGAAGTTACCAACAAAATGGTTTTGCATAACTTTCCTAAAAAATGATCATCCAACAACAAGATAGTCTTTTCAAAAAGAGCCTATGCCATGAACCTGATGTCTGAAATACACATACAAACAATACAAATTGTTTCTAACCCCAAGCATTACAAAAAAGCATATATGTAGCTTCTCTGATATAGTAAGAGGACAGATGAGGGCTTTTTTTTGGTGAATTTTAGAAGTCTCATCATCTGTCTTTTTCACTGGTAACTGGTAGTAGGTTAAATTACATTTTAAACCATGCGTGCAGTTATTTTTTCCAGAAGAAGGAAACTGAGACTGCAGTTCTTACCTAGTCACATTTCTAGGAACTAGAGATAGCAGAATAAAAAGTCATTGAGCATCATGACTCAAAAGTGTTCAGAGAACAGCCAAAAGTGACGCAAAGGGCTGCTGCACAGATGTGGCAACTGCACTTGCTTCGCTATAAAAACTGTAGTGGATCTTCATCCTGATAACCCACCCAGAGCCTTATCATTCCGAAAGTAGGTCTGAAAACACTTATACCCCAAATATCCTAGTGTACAAGAAAAAAGAAGAGAGATGACTTTCTCTGGAAGCCAACTTCCTAGGTAGTGAAGACAGCAAATTGACTGCTCACAGCTTACGCACTTAACCAGCTTTGGAAAGGGGACTATTTCTGCGTTTTCAAAAATATAGCACTGATCTTTAGCTGAAGGTGAAAAACATAAATGGCTGACCTTAGCTCCCACAGTGCTACAGCTGCTAGAACTGTAAGTACCGAAGCAGTTCACAAGATAAATCAAATATTCTCCCTGCCAATTTGTTGTAATTTGAGAGGCTAATCTTTATTCTTTTTGGCATCTGTTTGAAGACTCCTGCTGCCTGGCTAATCTTGGTATCTATTTTTACTAGTTTTATGAAATGTTACATTTCTTCCTTTTGAATATAAAGCCTAGGCTAGACTGAAAGGTCAGAAGAATTCTGTTCTAGTAATGAGTGTTAGACAAAGCCTCATATGCATATCATTTTACTAGATTTTTTTTTTAAAAAAGAAGTTACAGTTCAAATAAATTCTTCTTCTCCCCTTATGCTTCACATCATGAAGAAATTGTTCCTTCTGCAAACTGACACAGCAATTTATTGTTTATTTTAAACTAAGCAAGTCCTTTCCTTAATCTTCATTTTACTGAACAGCCTATCTCCATCCTTAGAATTATTTATGAATATACATCATTCACTTAAGTATTTTTAGTAAAAAAATAAAAATAGATCAACTTATTTAATTAATTTTCTTTCTGTAATCTTTACTGCCATTTTTCTTCACTGACTTCATTTTTTTCCAAATTAAAAATTAAGTGTGTATGTAAATTTGAAGTTCCTAGTTTTACAGTAAGTATTTTCATCTTGTTTAGTCAGAGAATTGATTTCTAGGGAAATGATCTGGAAAGCAAAGGAATGATTACATGAGCAAAGCTGCATACGTGGGGGCTTGAAAGACAGGGTTCTGGATTGCCAGTCAAGCCTGAAAGCAAAACATTTCACTGTATGTTGCTTACTTAATAGGTGGTAAAAAGAATTTTAACTTTTTAGCTAGTTCAAGGGAGCATCCACAAAGTACAACAGTTAGAAACCATACACTGAAATCTCAAACAGCAATAATCTTCTCATCTTTTAAATCAGCTTCCATGACACTAGAAGATGATATAACCAGTACATTCCCTTTGCTTGTGCCACACTTTCCACCCAAGAAAGAAACAGATTTCCCTTTCCAAGGCCATAAGACTGGCATCTTTTAGAAGCACTTACAGATGACTGAGATGAAATTTTTTTGGTATGGAAAAATTATACTCCCAAATTGACATAAATTTTATAAAATTGTTACTGGTAAGAAAAATCTACATGAGATTTTTATGGACTTCTCTTCTTCAATGTCTTATTATGTGTTCCAGTTCCTACTAAATTGCTTCTCCCTTTGGGATCAAATTTGTAGTGCCCTAGCATTTATCCCAAAGAGTCCATAGTGTCTGTAAAAGCTAGTTGTCTCACCATTCACATACAAAATGGATACTGGCTGTAACAGGAATAATTTAGGTAACATATTCAGAGTCTGTTTGAGAATATTTTAATCTCATTAGAATGAAATAAAGTGCTGTTTTAAAGCATTTATATGTTCAAAGTAATAATTCCAGCTGAACTGAAATTTAGATGATAGGCATCAAGGAAATTGCATGTAACATTCAAAAACATCAATTAACATCTACAGTAGCAATATCAGACTGGATCAGTGGCTCATGTTAATTAATACCCAGCCTCTCTCTGTAAGTAGTTAAAAACTACATGTTTCAGAGAAGGGAAAAACAGTTCATTCTCGCTTATAAGTGTCTTTTCAGTGGGGTGAAGATTCAGAGTCAACAACTTTCTCTACAAACAATGATATTTGACCACTGTCAAATCAGCATTTTAACTTGTAGCGATTCTTAATAATAGTATATGCATCTGCTCTAGCCCATCCCTAGCATCCCTCTTCATAGCCTCCTGTGGAAATTAATTTTCACAGCATTACACATCACAAGTTAGCTTTCTAAAACAGATTGATCATCTTTTACAATACCTTATTTTCAGCCTTTCCTTTTCAAGGCAATTTTTATTTATGCTAAATTTAATTTATATACTATTACCAAATCCTTATCAATCATTAAATACAGAGGTTAGGAAGAACAAAAACCAGGCTTCAAGGTGCAAGGAATTGCATACATCAGTACAAATTAAAGTTACTGCTTTCAATTCCAGTTGCTGCTTTCAATTCCATTCACGTGACATACTTTAACAAGTAATCCCTAATCCAACCCTTTTCCTTATTTTTCTTTCCTAAAAATCTTCAGTTGAATGTCTTATGATTCTCTGATGTTGAACAAAGAGTCTAGATACAAGTTTAAAATAAAAGATCTACTTTGGATTTCCTGTGAGTCACAGCCTGTTGAAACACTAATATGTTTAATATTTGCTGCTCTAAGAGCTTTCTTTCCCTTCAAAAGTCTGATGCCTTTGAACACTATATATGCCACTGCTTGCACTGTAAATACCCTGTTTGATTTATATCAATATATGTGTGCATTGTGTGTATGTATAACGTACATACAATACACATACACATAAATGCGTGCAAATCCTAAAAGAGCCAACTATATTGAAAACTTGGTAAGGAGCACACTTTACTTCCTCAGATGACACACGAAACTGCCACAGGACAGAAGGAAACTCTGGCTTCTCTGAAATCATACTTTATCAATGAATTTCCAGGATGTCTAACAGTTCAAAGAGCTCAAATCTGCTAACTGCTAACACTGATAAGACAGTCTCCCATAGAAGAGGATGAAAAAGACATACAGTTTCAGTGTCATTCTGTCATGATTCAGGGCATTTATAGGCGCACTGTGATGAGCAGCAGTAATAAGTTAGGTAAGAAGGAAGACCACTGAAGAGATTTTTTTTAAGCAAAGAAGGAAACATCCAAATTCATACTTAAATGCTCAGATCTAGGTGAGGTTTTTTAATTAACCTGTACAGATGAAATATCCTACCAAAGTGTAAGAAGCCAAATCTTGGCTCCACTACTGTAAATGGGAAGATGCAACTTCACTGAATTGATGAAAGATCTAGAATACAGATTAGAAGTTAATGTCGTTTAATACTCAAACTAGAATTTAAAAATTTTTCAAAGATATGAAACAATTTTGAAGAAGACTCAGAAGTTCAGTATCTTGTCAGAAAGTGGTAAAAAAAATAATTAAAACTTACAAATGAGAGAGCCTTGAGCATTAATTGTGAACTCTCCAAACAGGAATACTTGTACAAGAAATGTAAGATTTTTCTTAAAGTTAGTATCGATACTAACTAATTTAAATAGATACTGGTTTCAGTTTGACTTTCCTTATACTGTTTTACACCAGCTTAGCTCCACTGAATTTACACGTCTACTTTTAAGTTCTGCTAGTTTCAGAAAAGCAGAATTATAGACAACAATTTAAAATCCTTTCTCAAGAAAAATGGTCCCAAATATTCACATATTTACAAGATTTTCTTGTTAGTTTATCCTCTATTTCTCCCAAACATCACTCCAAAATTCAAAAGATTTTTTTTCCATCAGCATCTCCCCAGTATATTGACACCTTCAGTAATACCTTTTATCTCTGACACTGCAGTGAACATACATCAGAATTCTATTTAACTCAGTCAATTTTATATTTTAATCTAGAAGGAGACTGACTGAACAGGTCACCTGTAAACTTGAATTTTACTGTTTCAGGGATGCATTTATTCAGGGATGCAGTGCTCTAAAACTGATTCAGTGAACTGCCTATTACTTGTCAATCCTTTCAAATGTTTAGCAATACCTTAGTAAAATCAAAGATGATTTATGAATATTTGGAAACATCTTACAGTTGTTACTTTTTTGTTCTAGAATAGAAGATATTCATTGCAGTCTGTATAATAACATGGCTTCAAGATTTAACTTTCAGATAATAATTGTTCTCCACTTAGTTTTAACTTTGGGGTCAGACCATCTGCAAAGGCATCGAACAATGACAGTGGAACCAAAAACATATTTCAGTTTGCTCACTGCCTGAATTTAACAGTATGTATACTCTGACAAACCATGGGAAATTTGAATGAATCTCTCACAAAAAAGATGTAGAAGTGAAAACATCTTTTAGGAGAAATATTTCATCGGGAAGCTCACAAAAATATCAGTGCAAGAGGGAAGTATAGAATCAGAAGCTACATTATTTTTTTTTTTCTTTTAACACCAGCTATCAGCTATTCTTAAGGCATCATTTGTATTCTGTTACGGGTGATATATACTGAGGAATCACATTTATTTGTGGACAACCACAACTGATTTGTATGCAAGCTATTGAAAACCAGCATTTTTAGGTTAATACACATTTTGCATTTGTACACTTTAAAGCTTGCTACTATATATAATTATGCAAAGTACATGCTTTGTATTTTTGATTTCTCGTGACTGCATGCACTTACGCCATTACACACTTACTCTGGTAGGCCTACTGTGACATGGAGACTGGTGGAGGAGGTTGGACAATTATTCAGAGACGTGAGGATGGCAGTGTGGACTTTCACCGGACATGGAAAGAGTACAAGATGGTAAACAACGTTTTATGAAGCCTTAATATTAGTTATTATTATCTGAAATCTAACATAATAAAGTTACATTAATAGCATCCTTAGAATGTAAGCAGGTTTTAAAAGTTGTCTTTTTCCTTAGATGTTTAGAAAATGTCAGAGTAGTATAAGTTGTTTGCCTAGGCAGACTTGCAAGCATGGTATTTGTTTTTAAAGAGAAACTTCACTTTTCTTTAATCAACTGTTCCATGATATGTCCACATTTTTTGAGTTATTTATATTTGTTTCCAATGGCAGCAGTAGAAACTGTTCCAAATCCACTAAGTAATATTGATTCACTGTTTCAGATTCCTGAGTTTTGTCTTTGCTGAAATTAACTTTCTGAAATATTCAGATCTATAACCGTTATAGACACAGTAAGATTCTTAGTTGACGAACTGAAAACTATTGAACTTAAAAACTGATAAAGTGATCATTTCAAACTCAAAGAAAAATAAAACACAGCTATTTAAATATACAACTTGAATTACAGGGATTTGGTGATCCTGCTGGGGAGTACTGGCTGGGAAATGAGTTTGTTTCTCAACTGACTAATCAGAAGCGTTATGTTCTCAAAATACACCTAAAGGACTGGGAAGGAAATGAGGCATATTCATTGTATGACCACTTCTCTCTAGCAAACGAAGAACTAAAATACAGGTAAGCAGAAAAATGAGATCTGAATAAAAACCAATCTGATTAGAATCATTCTAGACTGTGTAGATGCATGACCTTATTTCATACAAATTATGATGAATTTTTCACTCAGAAAATGTTAGCTCCATTTTTCACCTATTGCCTAAACAATCAATTTTTTTCAAATGGAGAAAATGGTATTTTACTAGTGCATGCTGGGTGAGCATAACACATAAGATGGACAAAGATGAAGAGAGGATATGGTATAAGAGAGGATGCGTGTGCCAACATAGCGGATGGCAGTGCAGAGTCTTCAGGGCAACAGGAACCTGTCTGCTGTTGCTATCAAATCCTGATTCCCTGCAATAAATACATTTCTGGATGACTACGATGAATAATACTGCAAGGAGATTTTCCACTTAAGTCAGTGGCTAGTAGGAGCTGTTCTGTTGTCATGAAGAGCACACTGAGGTAATGCTACCTTCTCCTTCTGTGACCCATTGGCTTGGATTCTCAAAGAGTGACTCTCCTACCATTGAAAATGAAGCTAATAGCGTATGTCCAGTCTCATCCTCAACAAACTTCTCAATTTAAACACTAGATTTTAATGGACGTATTACACTCCCATCGTTCTGTAAAACATAAAGCTTCACAATTTCTTCTTACGTATTTGGTTAAAAAAGGAAATAATATATATTTTAAATAAATATTTTATATAGAAATATTATGGTATTATACATTTAAAATAGTATCATAGTATTATAAATTTTGAAGTAGTATCAGCCACACTGAAATATATGGGCAGTTCATTCTCCAGGCACTCTGTAAATGCAGAAGATATTGTTTGGTTATAGAAGAAACTGGAGACTCTACAGTATAATAGATGCTTTCCTATTACATGGTCCATGAAATGTTTCTTTATAAGAATCTTACAGATCCATGGAGCTTTAGGTGACTGGATAGAAAAATTGTCTAAATTTAAATTAATTTCTCCAAGACTTTTAGCAACTATTTGTTGTAAGCAAAGTCAGTCTGACACCTGAGAGAACTGATGCTGTTATTTGAACTCTAGTCTTACAAGCAAAGCAATCCAAAACTATTAGCATCTCCCCCCCACCCCCCTTAAAGGTTAGATCTTAATGCCTTAGTAGTATACAGTTGTCTCAACTCCAAAGCAAATATTTTTTCATCTGGAAACAGTCAGAATCTACAGCAGAGATTTTTTTTAAAGTAATGCTTTAAAATACTTACAAAGGCAACCTTTGCAAAATGGGTCATTACCCTTGTCCATTTACAGTATTAAAAAATAATTACTGAAAACTAAGATGGTTGTCTGTAAATAGATACTTTATTTTAATATGCAACCAAACATGGAATGCATCATAAAATTCAGTGGTTTAAAAAATACATTTAACATTATGAAAAAGAAAAAACATAAAGTATTCAATTAAGAGCAACTCCCATTACATTAAAAACATACATACATTCTGAATGCTGGAAAGATGATGAGTTGGGCCATAAAACTGAAATTTCATAGATTCATAGAAGAATTGAGATCAAAACAGATTCTGTTTGAGCCAGACTTCCTCATCTCAAAGCTATGAGGTCAGACCAGGTTGCTTGGGGCTTTATCCAGTTAGGTCTTGATAACCTCCAAAGGTTCACAACCTGTCCCACTGCTTGTCTGTCCTTGTAGTGAAAAAGGTTTTCCTGATATCCAGTCAGAATCTCTCACTTCAATTTACATCCACTGCCTCTCATCTTCTGTTTTACTAAGCTGTTCTTTTTAAAAAATTAATAATAAACATAAATGAATAATAGTCTGCTTACATTAGACTTCAAATGATATTTGAAAATCAAGCCTAGGCTCATACATTATACTTGGAACCTTTAATACCATTTATGTTAGAAATTAGCTTACAGAATTTTGAACTCACCTTAAGAAAAAACAGAATATTTAACTTTTTCAAAGAATTTTTTAATAAAATCTGTAATGACCTGATCTTTTGAAACTTATATAAATAAAATTTCATTTATTCTTAATATTTTCAAATAGGGAATATAAAATGGGTTAAGGTAATCTGTTAAACTACCAAAGACAACTTCTATCATAATCAGACAATTACATGCAAGATTTAGACTGATCCAGGGACAAGTTAATTCTCCTCACAGTCAGATCTCCTCCTTAAACAAACAGAATACCTCTGAGAAGGATCAGCTATTTGATACAGAAGTGCAGTCACCAGAGAGATACTGTGGGAGTAGAGGGTTCAAGTCTTTCCAATTCAAGGTAACACAGTAATAGCTGTGTAATCGCCTCCCCAGTTTGGTGCCCTGTGTCTCTCCCCACTGAGACTGCAGCTACACCTGTGTAAGTAGATTCAAACAGTAGCAGCCTCACTGAAAGCTTACCTTGCCAGGGAATTGAAGCAAACTCAAATACGTAACGCTAATGAATTTATGAAGGGTGTGAAAAGGAAGAGTAATTAGGAAAATGAAAAGGGAAATACTGAGAAACTCCTAAAATATCAGTTACTAGTTGGTAATTAGTCGTCCAGGTAATGCTATTATCTCTCATAGATGCAAAGTTGTAATGCTACATTGCCATGTTGTGCTAACAGCACAACAGGGATTGAAAAAGTTTTGGTTTAAACTTTTGAACTTGATTAAAAAAAATAATTGCACACAATGTACTTATAGTATTAAAAAATGCGTGACCTATATGGCAAATTCCAGGAGATATTATCACCTGTTCTCTTTTTCTTCTAATACGACCTGAACAAAACAGTCATCTCTACATACGTGGAGGCTGTTCACTAGAATATTGTGCTCACCATTTCTGCTCATATGAAAACATCGTGCTGCAAAACAGCTTACAACAGTACATTGGCCAGAAAAGAACTCAACTATTTGAACGGGATATTTATTGCAAACTATGCCATCATTATTTTCCAGATCAACTACCATTAACTTCCACATAATAATTGTTTTTCCATTCCTTGCTTCTACAGGATTTACCTTAAAGGACTTACTGGGACAGCGGGCAAAATAAGTAGTATAAGCCAACCAGGAAATGATTTTAGCACAAAGGATGCAGACAATGACAAATGTATTTGCAAATGTTCACAAATGCTAACAGGAGGTAGGAATTTTTTTTTGTTTCTTGGTCTTCCTATTTTTATTGGCACTGAAACTGTCTACGAGATATAGTGATAATTTTGACTTAGTAAATCTTGACTATTGCAGAATCCCAAAACTCTGATAGAAACACTAGTACGGTGACTCCAAATGAAATATTTTACCATTTGACAAAGGTTAAAGTAAAAGAAGAGACATTAAAACTGGAGGGAAAAAAGTCTCTAAAGTTTGCGTATAAGAACGTCTGTAATTGTGGAAATAATCAGAGGCAGCAGATTCTTCTTCCAAGGAATGAGATAACATTCAGAGATCAAAACACTTAACTGCCCACCCCCACAATGTTTTAGAGATTCAGTTCCATCAGTGAAACAGCTTCTGATCCTTTAGGCACAACCCCTTTCCCTAACTATCCAGAGGAGAAGAAAACCGCCAAAAGCTGCCATATACTGTACATGCCACAGAAGGGTACCAGTATTTAATTCTATATTTCAATAGAAGTATGAAATGGCAAAGATACACCACATACATATCTATCTTTTTCTAATGATGGTTCACTATGTATTGGAGTTTTAGGTGGTATTTTTATCTTGAATAACACAAGCCATTCTATAATTTGTCAATCTAGAATTCCACATTCTGAAATGTACACAACTGCTTTGTAAATTTGACTGCTCTTCCTGTTATCTCTTAAGCAATGATTTGTTTCCCTATAGCACAAGTTGCAAGGCAAAAGACAGCTTCAGTTTATCCAAAAGGATAATTGGATTAGTGCCCTGCAAAACAGAACACACACACTACTGCCATCATAACAGAAGTACAAAAATATTAGCTTATTAATAAAAATAAATTTTCCTTATGACCCACTAAAAGGTCAGGACCATAAGGATACACAATAAGTTTGGGCTGCTTTTTTCTCCTTCTCCTTACCAAGTTTGAGCACAGAGGTTTTCAACTGATCTGCACAGAGAACTGAAACAGATAATTGAATTAATCCTCTAAAAAGAATTAAGAAAGGACTTCAAATCTGTGAAGAACAGGAATTCACCAAAGACCAGATAAAAACCAGTATCATTACAGTTCAAGTTGAGTTCTGCCCTCAGACTGTCAACAACAATGTTTGATATCGATAATAAATCAAGCTGGATTGAACACCTTCCCTTCTCAATTTTAAACTACAATGTATTTTATAAGTTTCAAGAATGTGTAGTTAATACATAAATACATTTCTTTCCTGAGTTCGAGGCAAGTATTTTATACTGACACTTCCAAATCATAAGAATGAAAAACTGGGTTCAGATTTCTTTCTCATTTCAGGACAAAAAGTGTCCTTACGTACTTTTTTGAAAATTATCTCTGCTGATGTTTTTCTTTGTGTTCTGTCTTGCAGGATGGTGGTTTGATGCATGCGGTCCTTCTAACCTCAATGGAATGTATTATCCGTTACGGCAGAACAACAACAAGTTCAATGGTATCAAGTGGTACTACTGGAAAGGCTCGGGATACTCTCTCAAAGCCACGACTATGATGATTCGACCAGCAGATTTCTAAATGCTTTTTGCATTATGTGAATTATGTATTGTATAGTCTTCAAAGACTTGTCTTGCTGAGCATATAAACACACATCTGCAACTTGTCTCATTTTCAAGCCCAGAAAACAGGCACTAGTGTTCTGAAGGGATGAGTTCAGTACAATTCCTGAATTGCAATAGCCTTGATCAGCTAAAGCTCCTGTTACTCAACCAGACACAAGGTCTAAGGCATCAACCTGATATAACAGTGATTCGACCAAATGACTGAATAAAAAGAACATCCAAGAAACATCCAAGTCAGACAACTTAAGGACTGTGTTTTACTGATCATTTATGTTATGTATGTGTTAGTAAATAACTGGAACTGTGAAAAATACCTAAAATAGTTTTAGAAATATGCATTTTGCCTCATCACTGAACTTTAAATATTACTCTAATATAAAACACTTAACTAGATCTAGAACTATTTATCTCTCTGTCATGTTTGCCTTTTATGTACATAAAAAATACTGTCCTGTAATTAGCTCAATACTGTAGTTAAAGAATACATTCTTTCCCCCCATAGTCTCCTAAACAACTTCTCACACTTATTCAGGGATTTTTTTCCAATAGCCTGTCTTATTTTATTTAACAGAGGACAAATAGCATTTAAGTAGTTTGCATTTATTCTTGGGAAATACCGTGTACAAAAATCACCATTTCTTTCAGTGTGTACCTGTTACAGTCACTATCTTTAAGTTACAAAAATCCCTGCAATTTACAATACAGTATGTATTTCTTTATATTTTTATGAAGATTGCACTTTTTTCTTTCCTTGTCATTTATCTGTAAAATAATTGATCAGTATTTTATAAACTGAGACAACAGCATTAACACCAGATGTTCAGTTGTCTATGACAATCAGTTATCCCGTGGTGCTGTAGTACATCTATACATTTTGTAAAAATAACCTAACTGAAAAACATATGCATGTTCTTTGATACAATTAAATTTATGCTCATGAATTAAGAAACAATTACTACATTTTAAAAACAGGAAAAAAACACCCTGAAAGTTATCTAAGGTCATACTGTTGGGTTTTTTTTCAGTAAGGTTAGGACTTTGCCCTAGGAATTCTCCATAGGTAAGCCCTCAATGAATGACAAAATGTGAATAAATCACTGGGTGATTTTTGCTTTTTTAAAATTATATTACTGTGTGCTTTAAAATTGTGTATACTGCACTTCAGATTGAGAAGATATTTCTTCATAAATCACACAAAATAATTTTGTGGAGATGTTTCTCCAAATTAACTTTAGGTTTCAATTCTCATGTTTAGTCTTTTCCTTAAAGTAATATTTTTGTAAAATTTTAATTTGTGCAGATGACTGAGTGAAGATGACTGGCAAGAAAATATCTCATACCAAAGCAAAACAAAACCCCCAGATACAACATTTCTGGAGGCTTACTTAAGAAAAGGTATTGTATCTTAAAAACAATAAATGATTTTGAGAAAGATGGAAGAAAACTCTTCATTTTATACTGACAGTCATTAAAGCTCCTGTCAGAGTACCCCACCACTCATACCACCACCATTCTTCACTGAAAATGTGTCGGCATTACTAAAAGGTCGCAGAGACAAAAAATACTTCTAATACTACTTCATAATCTGATTTTTAATAAACCTAATGAATGTAAATTAACAGTTACCATCTGAAGAGTTGCATAAAATAATCTCAATGTATTTAAGATTATTGTTTAATATTTTATTGTTTCTCCTAGCAAACTTTAAGGATATAAGTACCCCAAACTGAAAAAGAAATACTTCACAAAAATTGCTTTCATGAATTTCTAAGAAATGTCTTAAAGAGCAAGCCTAGCAGAAGGCCACCAAGCTAGTGAAGGAGCTAGATGTACCAAGAAGCACATGACATACCAAGAGAAGCCAAGAGAGCTGGCCTTTTTCAGCTTGGAGAAGCGGAAGGGGAGACCTTACTTCTGTCTACAACTGCCTGATCGAGGGCAAAGAGAAAACAGAGCCAGATACTTCCTGGAGGTGCACTGCAATGGGACAAGAGGCAGCAAACACAACTTAGAATTGGGGAAATAGAATTTTCTTTTTAATTTATTCATTTATTACCATGAGGAATAGAATTTTCTTTTTAATTTATTCATTTATTACCATGACGATGGTCTGGGCAAGTCCCTTGGAGCAGAGCACTGAACTAGACAACCTTCAGGGGTCCCTTCTTATCTAAAATACTTTATGATTCTATGAAATTTAACAGAAATGCCTGAGTCTAGATTACTGTTATTTCCTGCTTCACTGCATTCATTTGAGCAACCTGGTCTAGGGGAAGGTGTCCCTGCCCATGGCAGGGGAGTTGGAACTAGATGATCTTTAAAGTCCCTTCCAACCCAAACCATTCTGTGATTTAATCAGATGACTAAAGAAAATACCCTCAATATTTGACATAGCAAGCATATCCAGCCCAATAATCTAAAAAAAAGAAAAGAAAAGCTTCTTAAAAGTCCACGATGGAATCTGGCACACTATGAATGCTCAATCTGGCAAAGGAAAATAGTGCTAACTTCTGGTTGACATTAACCTTCATTATTTTAGTAAGAAAACACTATATGACAAGAATAATTAAATATTGCATGGCTAGTTTTGATTTGCTGGAAAAAAGTCTTTATAAAGCTTAAGGCTTTTTAATGACTATTCTGGGAAAGTGATTGAAGATACTGATGTAGACATTGAATGGATCAATTGTTTAATGAGACTTTCATTTTTTGATAAAATGGAGTAATTTATCAACATGAATGTAAAATTTTAGAGTGAATATGTTTTTAAATGACATTTTATTTAAATAAGATTGCATGGCTCAAGCTGCAAACAGCAAAGTGACGTGAGAGGAGGACATTTCAGAAGGAATGCAATAATAGGGAAAAGAAGGCTGCAACAACTGCTTTGGACTTGGTACAAAAAATTAAAACATAACAGCAAGATAACCCCTTCTTTTAATTCCTTCCTGTAATCAAATAAACAGTATATAAAACTAGAATGCACTTCCATTTTCTCTAAATACTTCTTAGGAAGCAGAAAGGGAATATAAACACCAATCATGCTCAAATAATAATTGTATCTTTAAAAATAAGATATCTGTTAAAGTAAGAAACCAGAATGACTCGAGAAGTGAATGACTGAAAAGGTCATGGAAATATCACCTTGGACACTGACTTCGTTACTCTACAAGGAACAAGGAACTTTGCTCCTTTGCACACTGCAAACAAGGATTTTAGGTTCTCAGCACAACCACGACCTCCCTCAATTTTATCTTCTCACTGTCTCTCAAGCCCTCCTTACTTCTGCTTTAGGAATAAAAACCGTAAACAGAATTTATAAAGCAACTCCATCAGGAATCACTTCCAAAGAATGCTATGTATGTTGTTACTGATAACATACTTGGTTATTAAACAAGGTAGTCAGAGAAGAAACAGAAACTCAAACCAGCTTAATCTGAAGTACTGTGTCCTTTTTTTTTTTTCATACAAATACAAAGAAGGGGGAAAAAAAGGAACATGCTTTTCATTTATTTTTCACATTAAGTTTTACCATTCTTAATGTATTTGCTATATAAAAAACCCTACTCTTTCCTTTTAGGAAAAATGCTATATTATAGTGGATGATTATTTTCTTTGGGCTTATTTCAGAATAAGTGTTACAGTTTCCTTACACTTTGAGAACATACAACTTATGAAATAAAGTCTTCGTGTCAAATTTTTAAATTTACATAGATTATAGATTTAGAAAGAATGTTAAAAATGAGTTCTTAACAGTTAATAAAATTGTAGTAAAAATAAAGTTCAATCCCCATCAAATGTTCTTTCTTCAAAGCCCGTATGAAACTTTGAGTAATGAGTAGCAGATGATAATATATTTAGCTAGATGCTACAACATAAGAGAAATTGTAAACCCTTTTTTGGCAAAACTATTTGAGTGATTGACTAGTAACCTGCTAGAATTCTACTTGTTTTAAAACCAAAATAATATTTAATCAATACAACACATGGGGTGCATATACACTGGGGTCTGCACACACACCATGACCCCACATAGAAACTTTTGCAGTAGTTCACAGTACTTCAGAATGATCATTAAAGGCGGGAATAATGCTTCATTTTACCTACTTAGTAGTTTTAGAAGCCCACAGTAATTTTTCATTGCCAAAGTAATTTCTGGACTAAAAATATTGAGTCCATGATCTGAATAATCTTTCTGTTAGGCAATAACATGCCTCTCCAGTTTATATACAGATAGAAATAAAATATGTCACAAATAAATTAAAGGACATGTATACTTAAATAAGAAGCTAGTTTATTCAGACATTAATTGGTGAATTAATTTTTTGCATTTTCCATGCATACCAAAGTTTTTGCACACACTTTAAAAAATAGTGGATGAAGGAGAAAAGAACCCCTTATGGTATTTGCTTTTTCTGGTAGGTCTTCTTGTTCACAAACCTATTTAGAGTGCCAGTCATTCTCCAGATAAACAAAAGAAAGTTCACAAGCTTAAAGGGCCATTAAACCATTAAACTTACAGGAGCTGCAGGGAAGCTGGATGAAAGCTCATATGGTTCCTCTGAGATCCAATGGCCCAATTCCAAAGACCACAGAACCTAAAATAAATTAAGCGGTAAGTAGAACTCTTATAATGTCTACAATAGCAAACTCTTTGAGTGTGTAATTAGAAATAACTGCAGTTGCAATATTTGGGTCGATATTTCATTTACCCAAACCAAATGATTTGCTGAAAAAGCAAGCAGTCAGAAAGACACAAATTTTACAACAGAAACGAACCATTAAAATACCAAAGTCACATTTCTATACATAGCTATGTTAAATTTTAAAACTTTGTGAGGAGATTAGAAAAGTCAACTTTTTGCATCACAATACATAAAGATTTGAAAAGGGAAGTCATACTATATCAGTTCTGTTCTCTCAGTTCAGTTAATCATTGAAATTCATGAGGTTCCTGTTTGCCCATTTCTTCAGCCTGTCAAGGTCCCTCTGAACTGGAAAGACCATCTGATGTATGAAACATTCCCCAGAGTTTTGTAACATCCGCAAACTTGCAGAGAGTGCACTCTTCCCCATCATCCAGATCATAAATAAAGATGTTAAACAATATTGGACGAGTACCAACCCCTACTACTCATTGGGATTATGCAACTATTGTATATAATCCACATTACATATATAAATCAGCCTGCAAAGAAAAGCAGCTCAATTTCATTCTCTTCAGTATCCTCCTCTGTCAATGTTACATTCTAGAGCACAAAAAAGAAAAGGTTGCTCACAGTGCAGAGTACTGACTGTCTGGAAAATATATGATCATTTGTGTCCAACTGAACTCTGAAATGCTCATCAATATGATCCTTGGAGACTTGCAGTCCTAACACTGGACTACTTTCAAACTTAGGTTTGAAACGTCAGGGCCATCACAAAATGGTTAACAGAAAAAACCTACTTGAACTGGTTATAGTCTCAGTTTCTGAAATACACTATTTTTAACACTTTTATTTAAAAAAAAACCCCAACTTTTCCAAAACAACTTCATCCAGCATTTTTCCTGGGTTGATTTTCTAAACCATTCTTCAAAACAGTTTATCAATGTAAGTTGCAGCTGGTAGACTATAACATTAAAAGCCTCACAAAGAGGTTCAGAGAACATCCCTCAAGTGGTAAAAGCATTGTCTTTATGGGAAAAGGGGAAGAGAGTG